TAAGGGTTAAAGTGCATTTTAACAGCCTTGATTCAAAAAAGCAATGCAGGCATTTCTTTAATGCCACAACTATGTGTCATCCCTGTCTAGGAGCATAAATTTGCACAGCGGGCAGTGCAGTGAAAACAGCTTATAATCAACTCATCACCTCTCATCATTGCCGGGATCAAATGCAAATGGGAAAGAATGCCACTTCAGTCACTGCTAGTGAAAATTAGCATCTGTGACACTAATGGTGTCTCATTTTGTATGCACTTTAGATTAAAAAGAACCTTTTTTAAAAAAGCTATTTCAAGAAGTGCCATTATTCCGATGTTTCCCTTTACAATGACAGTGGTATTGAATCTTCTTAACTCAAAGAAGACCTCGGTTAAAATGTATTTATACAGATTACCATACACCAACATATTAAGTCTGTGTTGTCCTAATTACAGTTCCAAATCTCATCTGTGTGGTTCATACATTTTAAACTTTCTAGCATGTTCTCTCACCTGACACAAAGGTTGACCATGAGAGAACAGTAAGCTTTCTAGGGTTCTTGCAAAATCTTGGGCATATTGGAGTTGTTCTCTAACACTCAAAGATGAACCAAAGATGGATTGAAACACATGCACAATCTGCTTCCAAAAATCATAGTCCCAAAAATCATAGCTAACAGACTCAGGAAACCATAATCTTCCATGCATCTTTTGAGAGCTTACTATGTTGGAAAGCTAAACAAAGAAGAAAAAGAGATTGCCTAAATGGCATTGGATAACAATTGTATAAAACCATTTTGCAACTAAGAAAAAATGCACACAATTCTAAATGCTGAAAATTTGACAGATGTAGTACCTGAAAATTTTTTATGATAAAATTTCTGATTATAATTGGAAGAGGAGAAAGTCTCTAAATTCCTTTTCAAAGTACAAAGCTTTTTAAAGATTGGGTCTTGTTGGTGTCTTTAACATTCATCTGGCATTTAAGACAGACAATGTCAGTACTGTCACAGTACCAGTAAGACACTGGAGATTGGCATGTGTTTTTAATGACATATTTTTTCATCTATGTATTTTTGGTTAAGGTAACTTTTTTTTTATATGTGTGTAATCTTTAGTGTGCTTTTGACCCTTCACTTATGACGCTAGATAAGACTTGATCTCTCATGGAGTTAGAACAAGAATTAAATAGAGTAGAAAATCTGAGAAGAGCAACTGTTACATGATAAATTGATAATAAACAGAGGCGTCAAAAATAAACATGTCAGATAAACACAAGAAAAACTACGCCTTATAATCCTTTGACTGTTTATAGATCATATAAGCAGTGTAGATGAAAGAGCTGATTGGACCTGCATGTGGAATATGCTTACACATCTCGAAAGTCACTGTCAGCATTGAGCTCTAGTGCTAAAACAGTAGAAAATAAAACTCAAAAGGAAAGTATGGTGTATAAGGCAAGGTTATTTTTAACTAATCTAAATATAAAATTCTTAGCCACTACTCATTGAGTTTCATTTTTAATTGGAAATTATCAACATGCCTGACGGAGCTCAGGGGCATACTAAACTTGTAAGAATTTAGTAACTTTTTAGTATATACAGTTACATATTTTATAAAAAGGGCTTCAGATATTTGGGGGTACCCAACATGGAAGATCTTTGGTTTTTGATTCTCAGTCTTTGCTTTTAATGTTTAAGAACATATTTGAGTGGCATTCTTCCTATTATGAGCTGCTTGGATAAAATAAACTTTAGCAAAATAGAGAAACAGAAACATAAAAGAAAACTACATCACAAATGATAAAATAAGATGTGTCAAAACTATAGTTTGATTTTAAAGTTTAACTTATTAGTATGTTTATTGATGAATACTATACATATAAGAAAAGAATACATTATTTTGTATGTAGTATTCTCTAAAATCTATTACTGCATATTAGATTTATAAATATTTTTAACATTACAACTATAAAACCTATTAGAAAATACAAATAGCAAAGTCTATCGTTATAACTTTATTTTTAGCTATTATATATGATAATAAGAATTGTTCAGATTGTATATATATCTGGCTACCCTGGGAACTTTAATACACGTGTAAAGTCTGTAAATGTTTAAATCAAATATATCTCTTCCCTTCTCAAACATTTATCAAGTTATTTCTTTGTGTGTGTGCGTGCATGTGTATGTACATGTGTACACTTGTGCAAATGTGAGTGTACAGATGTATGTACATGTATGTACATGTGTGTGTGTGAAGGCCACTGGACAATCTCAGCTGTTATTCCTTGTCAGGCTCTGTCTGCCTTGGTCTTTGAAACAGAGGTTCTCATTAGTTGAGTCTTGCTGGCTAGGCTAGGCTAGCAGGCCAGCAGGCTCCAGGTCTATGACTATATCTGCCTTCTCAGTGTTGGATTAAGAGACACATAACAACATACTGTATTTTTTACAGAGGTTCTAATGAAAAACTGCAGGTCATCATCCTTGCATGGAAAGTGTTTTATAGACTGAGCCGAACCCTCACCTTCAACCTATCATTTCATTAGAAGATGCTACATTTGAATTACATGTAGTCATCTTACTACTCAATAGCATCCCAGAACTTCTTACTCCCATATAATTTACTACCCATTGGTATTCTATTTAAACAAAAAGTTCATTAGTTTTTGTTTAAAGTAATATTAGATATAATAGGTTTCTCCTGTATGTGGTGCAAGAGGATTAAACCTACAGACAGAAGAGATGCTGTACCATGCAGCTAAATCAAAAACCCTTAATTTATAGTTTTAAAATGTAGCATATGGTGAGTCACAATAAAACCAAGGAAATTCCCTCCATACTTGTGAGAGCATAGCACAAAGAATGAATGCCTATGGGTCAGGATATGGAACATATCATCTGATAGATAATCAGTATAAACAGTAACATCCTGTATTTCAGGGCAGTTTCTTGGTAGCGCTATTGTGTCTTTCTAGACAAATGTCACAATTTGTACTCCTTCAACTAGCCATCTGTGTAAGGATCAGAATAGAATGTTTTCTTACCATTCCCTATGGATTATATCTTTTATTCATGAAATATTCAAAAATTTTCTATTAAAAATAAATATGAATTAAAAGGAGTTATTTCTAAGATGCGAGTATAGTAATTGGAGGACTACTAGTTTCACAAAAAAAATTAAACCCATATATGTCAGCAATGTGACTATTTCTCATTATATATTTTATTCTCAGGCACATCAACTGTGTTTTTATTTTATATATAAAGATATCAATAAAATGACCAACAGTTCATATGTACTCTAGTAATTACTATGATTAAGACTGTTGCAAATAATGAAAGATCATTTTGAAAACAGTTTAGTGAAATGATATACTGATAATATACTGTACAATACAATCCTTATGAAATCATCAAATGTCATTTTTGAAACATTTTGAAGAAAGCTATTGTTCTATCTTAACTTTTGTAATACCTCTCAAAGCTATAGTCAACTGAGTATTTTCATTTAATCAGGGGTATTTTACATAAAAATAATCATATGGGACTGGAAATATGGCTCAGGTGTTGAAGGCTAGGCTAACAACCAAATATAATCATGTGAAGAAATATAACTGATACTTTAAAAAATCTTCTTTGTATATTTTGGGATATGTTGCTGTGAATTTTTATTTTAGTTATAAAAAGACAGAAAGTACAATATATTTTTGTACCATGTGTTTATAAGATGCTTGTCTAACTTTTGTTGAATTTTTGTATTAGAAAAAATAATATTGAAAATCATCTAGTTTTAGTTTCCTATACTTGGAAATAATTTATCATCATTTTACTTTAGATCTTTTGGAGAAGGTTTTAAATCTTTGAGGATTGTTCCATGCCACTTCAGTTCAAAATGAAAATCAATCCCCAAACTATTGCTCTCCCAATGAAAAATAAAAGCTGATGACAAAGTATGAACTCCTAAAAACAGAGTCAACTAGTATTTATCTCACAAACAAAAAGATTGAATTTATTTGAGAAACCTTAGGAATTTATAAATAGGGCATAAATTTTCTGAAATCACAATTTCATACTAGTGAAATTAACATTACAAGTAAAACCAGTTTAGAGTTCTATAAAAAAAATGTAAACTTGGCTTTTTCTATATTATTTTTAGTGGCAATTGTTATCAAGAGAAAGAATAAAAGAATATACTACATAAGACTAGCTTATCAAATTTACTAATTTATAAATTTTGTGTCTTCTCAAAATAGGACACAATTCTCTCTCTAGTGACAATGTAAAAATGCATGTCTACAACAAGATATCATAGCTTACCATTCAAATTACAAAATGAATAAAAAAAACTAACTTAAAATTTCTCCATTTTTATAGTCTTCTTACTGTTATGTATTTTAAATGTCTACAATTTAACAGATAAAATAATCCTTCAGTACACTGGTAAGACATTGAACAACCAAGGAATGAAAAATATGCATGATATTAATGGTTAAGCAGAGGCCATCAAGCAGTTATATAAAATTATCTTAACTCTATCTTAGCTACCAACATAAAGGGTTGAATGTAATACACAATTGTGAAGACCATAATTGCCCATCAGTATGCAAATTCTTCCATATGTACTTTGATGCACTCAGTCCTCTATTTAAATTAATTTAGAAGTGACAGACAAAATGTCATGTAAGTAGTAGGGTGATGGTGTAGGCTCTGTGTGTGTATGCGTGTGTGTTTGTGAGTGTTTGTTTGTGTGTATGTGTGGTATGTTGTGTGTATGATGTGTGTCACTGTGTATGTATGTTTGAATGTGTTTGTGTTGTGTCCTTGAATGAGTTTGTGTATGTGTGTATACATGCATATGTGTGTATGTGTGAGAAGTATGTATATGTTGTGTGTGCATGTGTGTATGTGTCTGTGCCTGTGTATGTCTGTATGTCTCTGTCTGTGTTAAACATTTTCTAGTATGTGTTGCTTTCTAGTAAAATGGTTTGTTTTGTTTTACTCTGTTAGAAAATAAACTTACCTTCGGTTTTTGGTGTTTCTCCTTCTCTGAGGCATTGGATGGCTTTCTCTTTATCATTTTGAATACAGATCACCTCTGGTGAGTACAGTTTCTGCTGTTACAGAGACGACTGAGAGCAAACACAGTTGCTGTCCGTGACACACAGCATCTGATAGCACTGAGGAAGTGTCTGATGTGACACTTCCTCCTCTGGTCAGGATGTGACTTCAGTGTCTGCTTGGGTGAAGGTTTTTTTTTTCCTCTCCTTCCTTACCGTAATTATTTGGTAACTCTGTACTGTATTCTCGGTGCTGTATTCTATGATAGAATTCCTATCTCGCACCTTTGACATGGCTACGGTAATTACTAAGGGTGTAATGATTTGAAAAACCAAAACTTATTCTCTCAGTTTATGTAAAGAAATTTAACACCTTAAATAAGATGGCACAAGAGGATAATATCTGAACCAATAAATAAAATCAAACAGAATATTGTGGATTTTTATTATTAAAAATTTGAGACTATTTAAAGAATTCCATTTTATATTTCTATAATATTTTATTCATTGAAGTTATAATATACTAACATCATTTCCACCTTTTCCCTTTCCTCCTTCCAAATTTTCCAGGGAACCTACCTTTCAATTTCGTTGCCTAATTTTTAAATGTGACATATGTCTGTATCTTTCTAAATACATAATTGAATATTTCTACATGAAGATCTATTTGAGTTAAATAATATTAATCCTCCCTAAGGCTACTGTAATAGGGTATAGATTAAAAGTACCTAACTGTAATAGGATTCTAACTCCAGAAATTAATGACTGGGCTTGGTGACATTTAAAAAGTAAGCATATTTTTGTTATAAACCCCTGATTAATAAGAGAACCACTTCCTGCTACATAGTATATGTATTCTGTATTCTGATAATTCCTGGTTGGTGGATGATGTCACTGTCTCATCAGTCCTCCCCTCAGACAAGGCATCCAGGGTCTACTAAGTGGACCTAGAATAACCCTAATATATCTTAAAGATTTTACTAAAAGCCAAATCCAGATATCCAGAAGTAAAAGATGCTCATATTTTCTTGAAAAAAAAAAAAAAGAGACCTTATCAGATGAGCTTGTGTAGAGTGTTTCAAATGCTGGCTCTGGCTAAATGGGCTGCTTCAAGAAAAATAATACTTTCTGCTTATAAACTACTCAGATTAAAAGGAGTAGCACTGTATTCTCAGGAAGTGCTTCTCTAGGTACCAGTCTCTGGCCCCCTTTCTCAGTTTTCCCTCCTACCTCTCCTCCTTCCTCCTGGAGTCCCAGCTGAAATTCACTAACTCACTTAAGAAATCCTGAATGGAGTGCCCGCTCTATGCTATTGGATGTAGTGGATACTCAATCTCTATGTGATAAACCTCTTAACTAACACGAATAAAAAGGTATTTTATGCACTACAGTAGAACTGGGTAAACTACTTATGAGGATTGGAGTTAATAAACTCCTGAAGTTATTGGCAGAAGGGTTATTTTGAGAACTAAGAGGTTGGTATTTTCAGAACACTGTCAGGGGAATAACACCAGAAGACCTGAAACCCCAGAGGCTTGGTAATTCCCTAGCAGTGTGGCTTTCTGTAAACTTTCTGAGTGGGTCTCAGTTAACCCAAGGAAATAAATGATTCCATCATTTAAAAAATTGAAAGTCACACAAAAAAAGTATTTTCTTGGGCTGGAGACATGGCTCAGTAGTTAAGAGAACTGGCTGCTCTTCCAGAGAACCTGGGTTCAATTCCCAGCACCCGTATGTCAGCTCACAACTGTCTGTAACTCCAGTTCCAGGGGATTCAATAGCCTCATACAGATATATACACAGGCAAAACATAAATGCACATAAAAATATTTTCTTATCTGAAATGTTTGTGCTCCCTGTACTCTTCCATCTCTTTGTCTAATGGTCAGACTTTAATTCAGTAGTAGAATTTGATCAGTTCAATGAGAAGGACGATGATGATAGTTCCTTTAGGAGTTTCACTAAGAATAAAAGCTAATGCAAATATAGGCCACCCTTATGCACCATCACTTCAGAATAGTTTTATATCAAAAATTATTTCTAGATAATAAATGAATATGAAATATAAAACAGTTATATTTGGATAATTTTTATAGTTTACATTTTTATAATGACAACTAAAATATAATGAATATTCAAATCGCTGGTACCCATATTTGTGTGTGTGTGTGTGTGTGTGTGTGTAGTTTAAATAGAGTCACGAAACATGTGATAGTAATGCTCTTCCAAATAGCCATAGACTCCCTAACTTAACCTTCCATGCCAGCCATAGGAAGCACCCTTTTAGTTCTTAATTGGTAGTGAGTGTAACTCCAAGAGACAAACAGAACAATACACACTATTATCATTGTCCTTGATTTCCTCCCAGAATGTGAGTATAATACATAGTGTTGATGATACCACACACTCCAGACACAAGGCTTAGATGAATTAAGCAGTAACTGACCTGGAAACCTTGTCTGAGCAGTAGCTCTCATAGTGTCAGAAGATATTTATGCAAAATCCTGATAATTAGTTGCTTAGAAAAATATGCCCAGGGGTACAATAGCAGCACAATTCTCTTGGGCATGATCAACAGCTATCTCACTGGATTTATGGCCCAGTCAACAGGAGGAAATCCATGCATGGTGCTGTAAGCATAGCCAAGGGCCTGTGGCTGGAGAGGTCATTGACCATGAGAAGACCTACTACTCTACAAAGGATGAAAAGACATGGAGGAGGGAGGGGTTCAGGATCTCAGATGAAGTGAGAAGGAGACTCAAGTGTATATGTAAAACAAGATTAATTTTATGCACATTTAAAATTATCAGAATATACATAAGATTATTTTTATAATAAAAATTATTATGCTTAAGAATTACATGTAAACATCTGTTTATATTTCTAGACATTTGACCAGTTTTAAACCATAAGGTGTTTTTAAATTATAAATAAAGTTAATATTTTGCTTAAATATGTATATGAAAGATGTGACTCCAGTCTTTCATTCATTTGGGAAAATTGTTCTCTGACAATTAATATGATATATGATCTTATTACAATATAACCATGTTGAAATCCTTGCTGTTTAGAAGACATAAAAAATGTTTCCATTAACCTACTTTTATTTTTGGGAAGTCTAGAGTTCAGATATTTAATGAGTGATACCAAGTGGTCCAGTTCAAAAGTCAACTCTACAACAAGACAGAGGTAAGGTTCAACATTAAACATACCTACTGTTAGTCATGGTTGGAGTCAGCCACTGGGCCACATGTTGCTTCAGATATGTGTGAAAGAAGGAAATTGCAAAACTGTCCTCTTGGTAGTTTGCTCTCAAATGCTACCTCAATGATTTTATAACACGCACAGGATGAAGCAAGTATGGGACATGGTGTCCACAACCACTTCCTATTTGTATCATGGATGGTGAGTCAAAATTTTCAAGAAATTTCAATGAAGTGAGAAAGTGGGATATATATTCTAAAAAATTAGAGTGAGATTTACACAATCTGTTTCATTGATCCACCAGGCATTTATTCAGCCACCATCAAAGTCAAATTATAAGTGGCAGAAAAGTAGTTACCATGGGAAATTTCTGTCTGATGGATGGGATATGATCTGAAGATACTGATTAGCTCAGGATTCCATCAGCATCACTGCCTTTACTATTACAAAGTAAAGAATAAAATTGAATAGAAGTGTCTTGTTGACTATTGTTTACATTTTTTGCTCAATGGATGATTTTGAAATCAAATCCTTTGGAATGGGTCTAGACACACCACATGGTCTTAATAGTTGTGCCCTTTTCAAACCCATATGCTTGGTCATATACAATTATATGCTCCTACACTTTGTTGAGACAACTGTGTCTGAGACCAGTGTTAGATACAACCTAACCCATTGCTGACTGTGCCTCTAGTGCTTGATACTAGAGCAGGGCCCCCGGGAAATCTTTCAAGAATGTTAAAATAAGCAAAATAAGGCTGGCACCATGTACTCCATCTCTGAACATCATGGTGTACAATAGATTAGCACAAAAGAAGAGAATATTCCATTAAAATCTGCAGAATTCAAACACAAAATGGCAGATGATACTGCTGGTACAGCAGAAGGGCACAGAGAACCTGAGCTGGGCTTAGGAGGATGGGCTTCTTAGGGAATGGTGACTATTGATTCTGTGGGGCTTGTGGAGGTAAAGCTAAAGACAAAAAGTACATCCCATTCACCAAGCTAAACTGCCTGGTCAAGGACATGAAGGTCTAGTTTCTGGAAGAGAACTGCCTGATTTCCCTGCTCATTACAGAATCAGAAATTAGTGACGTTTTCCTTGGAGCATCCTTAAAGGATAAAGTTCTAAAACTCATGCCAGTGAAGAAGCAGGGTCAGACTGGCCAGTGAATCAGGTTCAAGGCAAACTTTGTCACTATTGGCTCCTACAGTGGTAATGTTGGTAGCTATTTCTAATACCTACAGTCATTTGACTCCTGACATCTGGAAACAGACTGTGTTCAAAGGACCCAGGCTTCAGCTGTGGCTACCCCATAAGAACACTTATTCTAGGAAAATATGATGTGTTTAAAAAACAAATAAACAAAACAAAATAAACAAAAAAAATCTATAGAATTCAGAATCTTGCAAGAGTTAGAGGAGTCAACCATAAAGCAGCTTGTCTTGATAGGTCCTTTTTCTCTTTGACCCTTCAGACAAGGCTTCCTTTTCTCTGTGCTGTGAAGGGAAGTTTACAGACGGGAACCTGCTTGTGGACTTTACAGTTTTCCTTGCCCTGAGCCCGTGCTTACCAATTCTATCTTCCAGATTTCGTGGAGTCCTTTCAAGCCTAACATTTGAAATTAAAATATTTTCCATTTATCTCTCCTATGATACTCTGTATTACCTGAGATCTGTGACATATTTCTTATAAATGCACAAATAGGGAAGGCCTAGTGTCACTTCTCCTAAATAGTTTGGAATAGTAGAGTAGATCCTTGACCAGCTTGCCTGGTAGAAAGAAAGTAACAGAGGTAGATCATGGTACTGACCACTCAAGATGACAGATTTTAAAAGAAGCAAAGGCTAATAATTAATTTTCTTGACAACTCCATTGCCCCCGCAAAGTACAGCATGTTGAGAT